CTGTCTTTCCTGCATAGTACATTTTGCACAATAAGCATGTGATGAGGTAGAACATGTTGTTGGTACAACAGTTGATTAAACTGTTGATCTAATATTTATGAGATGTAACCGTAGACTTAAACTTCTGGACTTTAGAACCTTACAGTACAAACATTTAAAAAAAAAAATCTAATTTCTCAAATATTGTAAATAGCTGGGAGAAACAATAGAATCAATAGTTGTTTTCCTTTAGGGGCACTAAACTGAAACTTTAGGCCATAAAGAATCATAACCGTGATCTTAACATAAACAAAAAAACATATATTTTTTTAAATGCTTACCTATGACATGTTTTATATGTTTTGGGATTTTGTAACTCTTTCTTTGATTTTTGATTCACATTTGATTCTCATTTTACATGATCTAGAAAATGAGTTATGACAGATATACAGTGATGGGAAAAAGTATTTGATCCCCTGCTGATTTTGAACATTTGCCCACTGACAAACAAATTATCATTCTATAATCTTAACGGTAGGTGTAGTGTAACAGTGAGAGACAGAATAAAAAAAAAAAATCCAAAAAAATGCATGTAAAAAAAAGTTTTAAATGGATTTGCATGTCAATGAATGAAATAAGTATTTGACCCCTTTGACTTAGTACTTAGTGGCAAAACCCTTGTTGGAAATCACAGATGTCAGAAGTTTCTTGTAGTTGGCCACCAGGCTTGCACACATCTCAGGAGGGATTTTGTCCCACTCCTCTTTGCAGATCCTCTCCAAATCATTAAGGTTTTGAGCCTGGCGTATGGCAGCTCGAACCTTCAGCTCCCTACACAGATTTTCTATGGGATTAAGGTCTGGAGACTGGCTAGGCCACTCCCAGACCTTAATGTGCTTCTTCTTGAGCCACTCCTTTGTTGCCTTTGCTGTGTGTTTTGGGTCATTGTCATGCTGGAATATCCATCTACGACCCATTTTCAATGCCCTAGCTGAGAGAAGGAGGAGATTTGACGGTACATTGCCCCATTCATCCTCCATTTGATGCGGTGCAGTTGTCCTGTCCCCTTAGCAGAAAAACACCCCCAAAGCATAATGTTTCCACCTCCATGTTTGACGGTGGGGATGGTGTCAACTCAACTCCAAACACAGTGAGTTGAGTTGATACCAAAGAGCTTGATTTTGGTCTCAACTGACCACAACACTTTCACCCAGTTCTCCTCTGAATCATTCAGATGTTCATTGGCAAACAGATGGGCCTGTACATGTGCTTTCTTGAGAAGGGGGGCTTTGTGGGCGCTGCAGGATTTCAGCCCTTCACGAAGTGGTGCCTTACCAATTGTTTTCTTGGTGACTATGTTCCCAGCTGTCTTGAGATTATCATCAAGATCCTCCCTTGTAGTTCTGGGCTTATTTTTCACCGTTCTCATGATCGTTGAAACTCCACGAGGTGAGATCTTGCATGGAGCACCACACCGAGGGAGACTGACAGTTATTTTCTGTTTCTTCCATTTGCGAATAATCACACCAACTGTTGTCACCTTCTCACCATGCTGCTTGGCCATGGTCTTGTAGCCCATTCCAGCCTTATGTAGGTCTACAATCTTGTCCCTGACATTCTTGGACAGTTCTTTTGTCTTGGCCATGGTGAAGAGTTTGGAATCTGATTGATTACTTCTGTGGACAGGTGTCTTTTATACAGGTATAAAGCTGAAATAAGGAGCACTCCCTTTAAGAGAGTGCTCCTAATCTCAGCTTGATACCTGTATAGAAGACACATGGGAGCCAGAAATCTTGCTGATTGATAGGGGATCAAATACTTATTTCACTCATTGACATGCAAATCAATGTATACATTTTTTGACATGCGTTTTTCTGGATTTTTTTTCTTTTTTTTTCAAATTCTGTCTCTCACTGTTAAAATACACCTACTATTAAAATTATAGACTGATAATTTCCTTGTCAGTGGGCAAAAATTCAAAATCAGCTGGGGATCAAATACTGTTTTCCCTCACTATACATAAAACAAAAGTATCAAAGCATAATGGAGTGAACTCCTAGGGTAGACGGACATATTTTTAGAATGAAAAACAAGGAAAATCATTTTAGGTAGAACTGTCTGCATAGCTAACATAAGATACTACACGTTAATCAAATAAGTTTTGGTACTGGTACAATGCTTAACGAGTATTGAGGAACAAACATGCACATTAAGAAGTATTTGTATGAAGAGGCTACCGCGCCTAATAAACTGTGAGAACTGAAATTAGTCAATTTCACGATACTAAGCCATAATCATACCACATGATCCACTTTGCCCACACAGTGTGTCAGATTGGAGTAATGCTTGGAGCATTCCCTGGGCAGTAATTTACCAGCAATGCGAGCTTAAACTATTAGCACGTCTAAAGAGAATTATGAGTGGAAAAGCACTATTTACTATGCTTCATAGTAAATAGCAGTTTAACCCCAGTAGACATGGCATTTAAAATAGGTTTACTGTGGAAAAGATCATGGTGGATAAGCCACTAAGACTCAGCAAACTATCACCATTGCTTCATATTTAGAGATCTGCAGATTAATTAAAATTATAAGGCAAAAATTATAAGATAAGAGAACTGTGAATGTCCGCGTATATTGTAAGATGGTGCTTGGTAGCTGCAATGAAGCTGTCCTGGATTGGCAATAGATGGTGAAGCCCACCTAGTGTCCACAGTCAGTCAATGCCCATACTGGGCAATGAAACCACAATGTCATGGATGGTCCTTAGGGAAACAATAAGATGCGGGCAGAGAGAGTCCACTCTCCAGCCCCAGGCCAGTTGGAAGGTCAGCATATGTGTACCACAGACTCGGGGGCACTGTGCAGCCGGGTCTTTTCACTTGCAGGTGCTACGGAAGGCACTGATGTTCTGCCGCCACTGGCGGCAGGTGGTCTTCCAAAAGGGCCTTCGGCCTAGGTTGGCAGGCAGCATGGATGGCGTGTGCTTGGAGTAAGATTCTGCCCGAGATCGGTCCCTGATCATCGGCCCTCTTAACCTCCTTCACGTAGCTTGGTGATTGCAGGGTCAGGCGTTGTTCCAGCTGGTCCCAAAAGCATTGGAATATCATATCTAGTTGCCAGAGTGAGCCTTCCACCATTTTGCCACAGAGTTGCATAGGTGCAAGCACCGATGGTAGTGAAGACTTGTTGCTAGGCTCGCCTCATGCTGAGTGTGAACTACCATGGGCAGTAGGAGTCAGTGGAGAAGCGTACATCAGGCTGGTGGGGACTG